GCACTTCAAGTCCTGCTTCTGTTTCACGCTGCCATTTTGCCACCCAAAGNCCCCCCCCCCCCCCAAAGACGAAATTCTGTTTCGACAACTTTTACGGAAGCATTTAAGAGATTCTTTTAAAACTCGGCAGTTTCACGAACGGCTATAAGATCTTCTGTAACAGTTTGACGAGGTAAAAAAGCTCGTAGATGCCCCCTTAAATAATGTTTAAAATATTTTATTTCTTTTGTAAACTATTGAAAAAAGTATTTTTATTTTCAATATTGGGCTAGGGGTCATGACCCCCCCCCCCTCTGGATCCGGCACTGATTCGATGTTCGACTCGAATGGCTTCGTCACCAAATTCATCCAATGTCTTTTTCAATATTAATTATAGCTTCAAGGATTTAATTGGAATTAGAGATATTTAACAATATCAAATAGCATGCCTCTTTTTTTTAACATACATATGATCTGCCCAAGCTTTGCAGATATAATGTCCAGCGATTAGGGGAAAAAAAAATCTAATTTCTAAATTAAAAAGAAACTCATTAAACTATTTAGTTTTGAAGTTGAAGAAATTTTAAATTCCTGAGGAAAAAAAGGAATTTTTCCATGGTGCAATCATAAGGTAAAACATATCTATCCTATAATAAATGTTCAGTAATTCAAATAAATGTTCACGCTTTAATACAATTATTTTTGTCCTCCTTAATCCTTCTTTGTAACAATGAAAATTTTCCTTATCCATTATAAAAAATACATTTAGTCAAATGTATCCCTTTTATTTTTACATGTTCATTAAAAAAGAGAATTTTTGTATTATACGTTAGTGATTGTGTACAGTAAAAATAATAGAAAAAAATAAATAGCCTAGAACTTCAATGTAGTTGTTATTACATAGTTAATATTCTTAATTTATTTTATGATAGAGATGTTCCTTATTACAATTTTTTTTAAAATGTAAATCTTAAGTTTTATATTTTCTTCGTTTAAGTTTATGTGATTGATTTTTTTGTGTTTATATTTTTCATTATTTTGCTAACTAGTAAATTTAAGGAGATATTTTGAATAAAGTTATTCTGGAAATTATAGTATAAAAGCCTGGGATATTTCCGTCAGAATTTTGCCAAAAATCCTATGTAAAAATCCAAGAATGTACTTATAGTAACTGTGTTGTGCAGAACATGCGTACATTTATGTGGTATACTGCATAAAAATGCCAAAGCTAAAAAAGTATCCAATTTTTTTTTTTACATAGATAATTTTTTTTAACATTTAATTATAATAGTGTTGAATTTTGTAACTGTATCAATTGCGGAGTTAATTTTCAAATATTATTATCTTGAATTAGAATAATTTTTTATATTTTTTGAAGAAAAAGAGAGCTTATAATAAATTTTATTTTGTTCAAACTAAATACACTTATTAAATAAATAATCCCAAGCAACTGAAGTGGTAAGACATTACTTAATTAAAAACCTTATTCGCTTCTAAAATATATAAAAGGCAAATAACAATCGCAAGAAAATGGCGCCCATTTTTAAAACTTGCCATTTCACATCTAGCAAGTCTTGAAAATGGGCACCTATTTTAGATGCTCTTGAAACATGTTGACTCTTATTTGCTATTTATATATTTTGAAGCGAATTAAGTTTTTAATCAGGTAAATACATTTATATTAAGGTTGTGGCAAATTTGGGTGACATGGTTGTTCAATGTATCAAGTTTTTTGATAAACGTTGCCATTTTTAAAATTTATTTTCCCCCTCATCTGCATTTAATAAGTATGTCAAAAATAGCATATTTTTAAAATGTAGTGCTCTCACAGAAATATTTATTATATAACAAATTTTACAACTTTTCTATATATGAAAGTAAATACAATGCAGAATTCATATATAAAAGAATAATATGCACTTATCCAAAAATGAATTTACAAGTAGAACACATTCAAAAAATATTTGCCTTGCAAACATTCCGTTTTCAGGAATAGAAAAAAAATATGGATATGTTTTCCGTGAATAAAGCATTATTTCCATCATAAATATTTGAACATTTATTCCACAATTCCTCGTCTTCCGAAGCATTTACATAAATCGGCAAGAACTTGTACACCATTAACAAGCGTATAAACTGCAAGGCATGCTAAAAATACTAAAACAAAAGTGATGCTCACTGCTAACCATAAGTCTGCTTGCAAACCTAAAATGGGCCAGAGAGAAAATAATCTATTACATAATTGCTATAGCGTATGGCGANTGTAATATCAAACATCGATTTTCGTATTTATACGTGATTTAAAAACTGCGCATTGCGATTCGTATTCACGCGATCTAAAATTTCTGACTCGTGATTCATATTTACGCGAATTTAAACTTCAAAATCACAGTTTTTAATTTCCACGTTTTTAAAATCCAATATCCCTATTCATGTGCACGTGATTTTAAAATCAAATACCGCGATTCATATTTACGTGATTTTAAAATCCAATAACCGTGATTCATAGTCACGTGATTTTTAAATCCAATATCGCGATTCTTGTAAGAAGTAAGTTTTTTTCATGAACTGGTTACTATAAATGTGTGATTCTTCATTAGTAGGTTATTTAATTAAAAATGTTAGTTCAAAAAATTATGTTTCATATGAAACATGCATGGTTTATAAATTGATATCACGTTTTTGAATTTAAAATATTTTGGAATTTTTACTTAGTGTCACTATTACCCCGTATTGGCTTATCATGCTTTGTGTTCCTATTTTTAACAAGTTGGTAGCAACGCTAACGAACACTGATCTCTATTCTGTGCTCTTAACAAAATATGAATGTTTCTAGCAAAAAAAAAATATTTTTTTTTTAATGATTGCTAAATGGTTACTAAATAAAATACAAGGAAGAAAAATGGAGTTTAATATTGAAAGAATGGGTGAGTTCTTTAACACAGTGCCAGTGGAACATGCTTCAGGTCTCTTTAACTTTCAAGTTTGTTAGACTGCAGACTTTTTGAATGATATAAAAAAAGTTTGGAAAAAAAATTGTTTTTTAGCATTTAAAATAATTCCGTAAGAAAAACAAGTTACTATAGTACATATTAAAACGGTTAATAAATAATATTCGTTCCCTTTTATGAAACTCTTAAGTTTATCCTTTCTGCACTGATCAAACTGGTCTATCTGAATTTTAACAACTATTTTCAATGCACATTCCGTATGAATTGTTATTACAATGAAAAAGTTACTATAAAAAATATAGTAGCAGTGTTATTAAATATTTTCCAGTACAAATGAAAAATATCTATTTTTTTTTTTTAATTGAAATATACTTTAACTAAAAAGCATTTGCTCCCATAATAAAGAAGTAGAAATATTTCCACTTTCTGTTTAAATAAATTTGCGGACGACAACAGTTTTGACAATTCGATGTTCGACTCGATGGCTTCGTCACCTAATTCATCATATATCTTTTTTAACATTAATTGTAGCTTCAAGGATTTTTTGGCATTAGATATATTTAGCAATATCAAGTAGCATGCCTCTTTTTTTTTTTTTTTTTTTTCCTTTTCTCTTTTTTTACGAACGAAAGTTCTGCGCAAGCTTTGCAGATATAATGTCCAGCGATTAGGGGAAAAAAATAAAACTAATTTCTGAAGAAAAAGAAACTCATTAAACTGTTTAGTTTTTAAGTCGAAGAAATTTTAAATTCCTGAAAAAAAAATGGAATTTTTCCATGGTGCAATCGAAATAAGATAAAACATATCTATCATACGTTAATAAATGTTCAGTAATTCGAATAAATGTTCACTCTTTAATACAATTATTTCTGCCCTCTTTAATCCATTTTTGTAACAATGAAAATTTTCTTTCTCTGGAACAAAAAATACATTTAGTCAAATATATCATTTTTATTTTTACACGTTCATTAAAAAAGAGAATTTTTGTATTATGCGTTAGTGAATGTGTACAGTAAAAATAATCGAAAAAACTAAATAGTCTTCAACTTCACTGTAGTAGTCATTACATAGTTAATAGTCTTAATTTATTTTATGATAGAAATGTTCCTTAATACAATTTTTTTAAATGTTGATCTTAAGTTATATGTTTTCTTCGCTTAAGTTTATGTGATTGATTGGTTGTTTGATTGTTTATATTTTTCATTATTTTGCTAACTAGTAAATTTAAGAAGATATTTTGAATAAAGTAATTCTGGAAATTATATAGTATAAAATTTCAGGGAGATTTCCGTCAGAATTTTGCCAGAAACACTATGTAAATTTAGAAAGATATTTTGAATAGAGTAAATCTGGAAATTTTAGCATAAAAGTCAGGGAGATTTCCGTCAAAATTTTGCCAGAAGCCGTATGTGAAAATCCAAGATTGTACTTATAGTAACTACGTTGTGCAGAACATGAGAACATATATGTGGTATATTGCATAAAAATGTCAAAGCTAAAAAAGTATCCAATTTTTTTTTTACATAGATAAAATGTTTTTTAGCATTTCATTATAATAGTATTGAATTTTATAACTGTATCAATTGAAGAGTTAATTTTCAAATATTATCTTTGTAATTAGAGTAATTTCTTTTATTTTTTGAGTGCTTATAATACATTTTATTTTGTTCAAACTAAGTACACTTAATAATCCCAAAAAACTGAAATGGTAAGATATTACTTAATTAAAAACTTTATTCGCTTCTAAAACATACAAAAAGCAAATAACAATCGCAAAAAATTGGCACCCATTTTTTAAACTTGCCATTTCACGTCTAGCAAGTCTTGAAAATGGGCGCCTATTTTTGATGCTCTTGAAACATGTTGGCTGTTATTTGCTATCTATATATTTTGAAGCGAATAAAGTTTTTAAACAGGTAAATACATTTATATTAAGGTTGTGGCGAATTTGACTGACATGGTTGTTCAATGTATCAAGTTTTTTGATAAACGTTGCCATTTTTAAAATTTATTTTCCCCCTCATCTGCATTTAATAAGTATGTCAAAAATAGCATATTTTTAAAATGTAGTGCTCTCACAGAAATATTTATTATATAACAAATTTTACAACTTTTCTATATATGAAAGTAAATACAATGCAGAATTCATATATAAAAGAATAATATGCACTTATCCAAAAATGAATTTACAAGTAGAACACATTCAAAAAATATTTGCCTTGCAAACATTCCGTTTTCAGGAATAGAAAAAAAATATGGATATGTTTTCCGTGAATAAAGCATTATTTCCATCATAAATATTTGAACATTTATTCCACAATTCCTCGTCTTCCGAAGCATTTACATAAATCGGCAAGAACTTGTACACCATTAACAAGCGTATAAACTGCAAGGCATGCTAAAAATACTAAAACAAAAGTGATGCTCACTGCTAACCATAAGTCTGCTTGCAAACCTAAAATGGGCCAGAGAGAAAATAATCTATTACATAATTGCTATAGCGTATGGCGAAGTACTGTAAACAAATTAATATTGAATTTAATACTAATATTTTTATTTTATAACCAGCGTTGAACAGCAGACCCAATTCATTCTGAGTTTATGACTATCAATGGGGAGATGTGGGAGAAACTAACCTTCGTGGAAGATTTTTTTGATGAAACTAACAAGCATTTGCTTTACATGGAGTGGAAAACCACGAAAACCTCCCACTCGCCAGCAAGGGAATTCTAAACATGATCCGTCTACCACTGGGGATATTTCACGTCAACACTGTGGTCGATGCTAGCCGGATGCTGAATTCATATCGACTAATTATCACTGGGATTCGAACCTTGGTGACATGATTGAGGGGTGAGCGCTCTATCCTCTGAGCCACTACGGTAATTAACAATTTATAATTATGATATACAGCATGAAACACCGATATCTTTTTCTGCGTCAAAGATAAAATTTTGTAAACACGGCTCATTTTTAAACAATAACTTTTGAAATTTGAAGTTTTTTTTTTTTTTTTTCTTAAATGGCTGGCACTGAACATTATTCTTCGCCTTAGAAGATACCGGAATTGTTACTCATTTCACGTTGCCCAGTGGGCACGTGTGAACCAAAGTCATGGAGGCGAGCAACATTACCCACGCCACACTACCGCAAACCCGTTTATAGGGTGGGCCACATTCACACATCACACACAACAGAGGAAAACACAGAGAGAGAAACCTCCTTGCCCACAGCAGGATTCGAACCCGCAGCCATTGGCTTCGCAGTCAGGCACGCTAACCGCTCGGCCACCTGGCCGGCTTGAAATTTGAAGTTAGCTAAGAGAAGCTGTTATTCATTATTAAAATTTCTTTAATTTACCAAATCAATTATTGATAAAATTTTAAATATGACTGAAAATTTTCTTTTCCCAACTACTCTTTTGAATTTTATATTTTAGTACAAATATAATTCCGATAATCTAAAAGATTTACTATTAATTAATAGAATTGAAAGATTTACTATTAATTAATGCTTTTTGAAATTGAAAAATACATAAATATATTTTTGCTTGTAATGAGAGAGTCAGAAAAAAAAATTATATAAAAGAGATACTGATGTCCCGTCAGTGTCAAAAGGTTAATAAGCATCCCTAGTTTTTTTCCCCCTTTTCTTTTGGGGCTCATGTTTTTCAAAAAAATGTTTATAACTGATATCAATAATTTTATTTTCCTGTTATTTTACGGAGTGGAAGAAAAACTTACAATTTTTTGCATTATTCCATTTCTTAAGTTTAAAAATAAATAAAATTTAAATTACGAAATCGAGGACCCCCGTATTATTTAAGCATGCAATTTAAAAACACAATTACGTACTGTATATTTTCGAAATACAAGTCCAATTTTTGCTTTCTCCAAGTTGATTAAGTAGAACATAATTGGTAACTTACTTTTTGTAAAAATTCCATAATATTTTTTAATGTTCTTGGAAACAGTTCCAAAGAAACCATCACTGCTATCTGTAAATATTTAAAATTTAAAAATATATACCTACAATTTTTATACAACATTTTTAATATGATTTTTTTTCAAAAAAAAAAAATATCATTAAAGAACTTATGTTTTTTTCCCTCTTTTTTTCTGATGAATAAACATAGACCGGAAGGATTAATGGGTTAAAGATGATTTAGAAATTTTAAGGCAGAAACGCGATATTTTTTTTATATATATTTTAAGTAGTTTTTCCACTTTTATAACTAATCACATATTCGCCTAGCCAAATTATTTGAAGCATTGTATTTTCTTAAACATTACATGTTCTGCACGAGTTTATATGAGTTTTTGTTTAAACATACATGTAATGAGTTTTAATTCAGGAGTTTTTCTATATACACCTATGTACTTCCTATTTGTATTTATTTTTAACGTATTGCATTACAATGCTAAGCAATGGATATACGAACGACAAGTGCATACCAGTTTCAGTCTAGCTCTTGCTTGCGTTAGTTGCGGATGTGTTTTTGGGGCTTTTTGCTGTGTTTATTTGTTTCCGAGTTTTATACTACGCAGTTATGTGCTCATTTTGTGTGCAGTGTTTAAATAATCAATTGGAAACTTTTTATAATGGGTAAAAAAGGCGATCTTTCACCATGTAAAAAAGCTGAAGCAAAGGCCCTCGTGAATGCTAAAATATTTTCAAACCGTAAAACATAACGAAGATGGAAGGTTTCTGAGGTTAGCGTACGACCCATTAAAGAGAAAATTGAGTTGGGAGACGAATTGAGCCCGAAACGAAAGAAAATGTGGAACAGAATCTTATAGTGCGTCGAATATTTTGGCCAGGGACTGTATATTAAACTTAGAGTTATTCAGATGTGTGATAGATGAAAATTTCAACTTTTTGTCCAAATAATCGTCTACTGATTTAGGATGCATAAATAAAAAAGAAGTGCATAAGCATATATTTTTCTTAGAATTAGCACAGAAAAATTACTGTTGGAATTTTGAAACTTTCAACAAAAGGAAATAATTGATAATAAAGCTAAATAATAGTTTTGAAAATTTCATTTGTCAAGTAACGTAAGAGCAAAAAATAGCTTAATTATTTTTCCGCACCCTGAAGCAAAATACGTAGTTCTTTTAATTATTCACGTATTATTGACGTAGTTCTTTTATTGTTCTTCTTAATTATTCACTTTGAAAAGACAGGCGATTAACTAACACTGTTCAGTTTATTACGAAAGTAGTATACCAAACATTTTTTGTTTTAGGTGTGACAAAAATTAGTTAGTTTTTTCGTCAGAAAAATTACTTTTTCGTTCTTTTTTAATTTATTTGACGAATGTAGTATATTATAGATTTCATTTAATTTTTTTTTCTTCTATTTAATTTTCATTCTTTTTAATTACTTTCCTCCTTTTAATAACAGTTTTACATTCCATAAACAATTGCAAATGTTGCTGTCATCAGACACAGAACTCTATTTAAAATTTGAGCACTCCAGCTAGTCAGATGGACAATTCATTCGATATGGAGATAAATATTACGTGTATAGCAGCCAGGAAACGATTGAAACTTGTATTGTTAGTTGTCGCAGAGTTCCAATTGATATTTACTCATTCTAGCTAATCGGGAAATGATCGAATATTAATTAACGGTAGTTCTATCTGACAATAAGATGGCATGAAAATTTGCTCATAGCAGCCAGGAAAGGAATAAAACTTAAATTATTATTCATCACAGAACTTCAGTTAAAATTTGAATTCTCTAGCTCGTTGGAAATCGTGCAATGTCACGCATTGACTTGACGAAATCATGATATTGATGCATTTAAGACTAAACTCTGAAAATCAGCAAATATGTCTTTAATGCTTGAAACTATAGATGTATTGATTTCTTTAATCTACATACATTTCTTTAATTTGCATAATAATATGAATTTTATAATGTCCAATGATGGAAAAAAATTGTAGCTTTTGGATAATCATCCCAATCCATATTATGGATGGATGGCTTTGCTCAGTATCTCAAGTACAGTTAATATGGAGCTAAAAGAATTAGCCAAAACTACACTAACTCTTCAAGTGAACCAATAAAAAAAAATTACATTTTCAATGTTAAAACAACTACATAAAATACAATATTATGAATTGTCAATGTTATTATTATAACTTGTTATGACTAACATTTCAACATTATAAAATAATAAATTAAATATAAAATAGAGAGAGAGAAAATACAAAGGAAAACATTAATATAGCATAATAATTAGTTAACAATGTACGCAGTAAACAACGTTAAACGTACATTTGACAGTAAATTTTTAATTATAAACTTACTATATTTTCAGTTATTATCACTTTTACTTATTGTATTTTCATGAAATATACAAACAATACACAATTTTACAATACACAATTATAATATACAATTAAACATACAATTTTGAAAAATACAATTAATAGCATCCAATGATAATAGCAGCGAACTAGTAATTGTAAACTTAAAATTAGTAATTTGAAAAAATAAATCAAATTTTAAAAAATAATTTATTTAAAATTCTCCGCTTTTAATTTCGATTTCCAATATCATTTTTTCCCCATAAATTGTTTGCAGTAACTTATATCAATATTAAGGAGTTGAGCAATAAAAACTTCACTTATCTGTAATATTAGCTTTAAATATTTAAAGTTACGACTAAACGAAATTGCTCATACCTGTTTAAAATTATAAAGATTGCTAGATCAGTCAAGAAGCAAAATTTAGACTTAAGAAACACGATAAATATGTCTGTTATATCAAAAATGCGGTGTATCATTTATTGCCGAGGATTGTTTAAGTTTTGAGATTTCAATAATGACAAAATTCTTTACACCCCTGTCATATATGCTTGTCTTGACGCTCTGTAATATTGTTTTATTCAAATAAATGTCGATTCTCTTGTAAACGATATGAGTTCCTCGCCACTTATCTTTAGCGCTTTGAAATGCATTTTGCTCTGATTTGCTTTTCTGAACCACTGCGGTTTTTCTAGTTGTGTTTTTCATCTTAATACTCCATTTTCCGTTTGCCATTTTACTTTTTTGCTTCAATTCACTTTTTTGTTCTCATTCACGTCTGGCGAGTTTTGAAAATGGGAGCCAATTTTCAAGCGCTCAAACCGTGTCGACTTCCATTATCATCTTATTCTATAATTTTTAGATCATCAAGTATTTCTTGTCACTTCAGTTTCTTATTTATTCAATGTTGTTATTGTGGGGAGAGTTGATATCGTCAATGTCTACCTTCATCTATGAAAAGGTACCTCACCATAGAATCGGGTTAACACGTCTTATATACTAAATTGGAATTATATTTTTGTAGTGGTAGATACACTACAGTACTTCCCCACCAGAATTATATCTGTGATAGAATTCGATGAATGGATACCTCTAGTTGATTCATTGTTGTTTTGTGAGAAACCGGGAGAGCTGTATTAAGATCACCAGACTTTTTTAGTACAGATCGTGAGAGCTGTATTAAGTTCACTGCGGTTTATGTGTTGCCTTTAGCAGTCGAGTGTATACATTGTACGTTGTGTGTGATCGAGACTGAGAAGCAACAGCGTGAAGAGGACAATGTCGCAGTTACAAGTAGCAAGTCAACTGTTCAATCTGGACCATCCATTGAAGTAGACGTGTTCAAATCGTAGTGGGTGTTTCTGCTAAGGTAGGCGTGTTCACATCACGTCCGAAGGTCATCAATGTGAGGAGAGTTGTTAACGACAATGTCAACCTTCATCTATGAAAAGGTACTCCTCCATAGAATCGAGTTCACATGTTTTATATACTAGTGAATTGGAATTATATTTTTGTAGTGGTAGATACACTACAGTTATATTATGCGTCGACTGGACAACGAAAAATATACATATGTAGGGCAGTTAAAAGGATTTTTTTGTTCCTCACTAGAATAATTCAAAAGAAAGAAGAAAAAAAAAAGCTACAAAATGTCTAGGCCATCAATTAGTATTAACTAATATTAGTTGATGGCGTTCATTCAAACATTTTGTATTGATCGCAGATATTTATTCTTATATTTCAGTATTTTATTTTAAACGTTAGACATAGAGCGCAAATGCTAATGATGAAAATACATCATCAAAAAAAGGTTTACGTGATAGAAAAGTTTAATTTTGTTTCAGTGTATCTTTCTTTGGCTATCCCTTAATTTTGTATGCAAATAATTTGATGAACTTTTCATAACAAATTGATAAATTTATACAATTTATGATCATGAAATTATGAATTTATGTAAAAAACGATTCGTTTTGCGTACTGATTTAGGAAAAATTGCTTGTCTCTGAATGTTTAAAATAAAACTTAGGTAAGTAATTAAAGGAATGGATAATTCTAAGAACAATTTTTAAAAATAACAAAGGTTTTTATAACATATTATTTTCTTGTTTTTTTTGCAAAGAAATAAAATATAACTCTAACTGTTTTGCTTTAATTATTTTTAATTTTGTGTGAATTCGGACTCAGTGGCAATTTTTTCGGAAACGGGGCTTAATCCGCTTTGTCCTGACTTATCTAGTTTATTACGAATTTGCTCAACAGTATAAGTTAAGAATTCGGTATAGTTTTAGAAACTTTTTTTTACCAATATTATTAATTATTGAAATTTCATATTACTCAAATGCCATACTATTATAGGGCTCTAAATCTCTATTTGACAACTCGCTATTGGCGACCTAATATCTTGGGATACAGATAGAGCAACAGAGTTTAACTCTAGAAATTCTAGTCTAAGAATTATAGAGTTAGACACTTGATCAAGTGATCGAAGCATGGTCAAAGTTTAAAATTCATTCTGTTATGAAGTTTTCCTATTCTGAGATTCTTCAAATTCTTAGATTTTGACTACTAAATTAAAATTAAAATTTGAGAGTTTGAAACGAAACAATTAACTGCCAGTAAATCCTTTTCGTAGAGTAATTGAAAATTTATAAATTGGTAAAATAAAATAATTGCTTATGAAATAAAGGAAAAAAACTTAGTAAAAGCAGGATTAGATTGCTAAATATATAAAAAAAAAAATCATACCTTATCAGAATATCGTAAGCAATATGCTGAGGAACACTTTGTAAAAATAATTCTTGTTCGAATAATAAAAATAATTACAAACGTGTACAGTTCTTTTTTAAGGAAAAGGCGAGTTTCGAATAGATTCCTAAAGTAGAAAGTCGATGAAATTGTAACTCCATCTCTAAAGAAATGAAATTCTTTTAAGGAACTGGCACAAACTTAAAAGTTGTATTCCTTAGAGTAATTTAAATGCATGTAGTTTTAATGCTTCTTAAGAGAAGATAATTTAAATAAACATAAACTCCAATAGCGAATAATTTAAAAGTAAAATAAAAATTATTTGGAGTAAAAGGAATTGCATTTCTGATGTTTTGTGTTACGAACAAAATCTTCAGTTTAGAAACATTTATTAATAAGGATTCTTTAGCAATGTAATTTTCTTTTTCATCCTTAAATTATTCAGAAAAGAACAATTCTCTGGAACAACTAACGTGAAATGTTTACTGCTATAAAACTATTGTAAAAAGAATTTGGTTAGTAATTTTTAAATTCTATATTGGATATTTCAAAATAATGCGGCTAAAATATCATACTCAGACATAACAGGTATACAAAAAGAATAAAAAACCATATTGGGACATGACGTCGCTAATGCTAATTGGGGTTACTAGAGGGCGTTTTTCTATGAAAACTAGAGTACCAGTTGAATGACCACCATGATCACCAGCTTTGTGCCCAACTGATTTTTCCTAAAGAGATTTAGGAAGCATTGTTACAGCAGTAAGATGCATTCGAGATGCTTTTGGCATATTTAAAAAGATATGGCATTCCATGCAGTGTAATGCTTGTCTCCAATAATCTGGCAAAAACTTGGAATATCTCTTCCAGTTAATATTGGCTCTAAATGTGTAATATATATGTGGCAATACACAATGAATAAAACGATGCAGAGCTTTTCGAAATTACATATTTTCAGTTGAGGGCGCGGAAAATGGCCAGGTTTGGTACGATGATCATACGATAAATCAGCATAGCCGGAAGATTGAACTTTTAATAGAAAAGATTTTAACGGTAATGTAAGGACATTTTAATTACCTGTCTCATTCTTAGCTTCTTCTATATTCATAGAGAATTCTGCTAATCCTTCGTAGTCTGACGTATATTTTGATACTTCAGGTAGTGCATTGATAACTATACCATTTATGCAGTAGAATACTATAAACCAACTAAAAATCTGTAAACACATTTTTATTTAAAAACGAAGAATAATCTTAGTAGCATTAAACTTATCTTTCATGACCTTGGCCAAAGTTCATGACAATAGGTGGATTTCGAATATTTTCAAAATTTATTACAATGAAAATTAAGCTTAAATTTTGAGGCAAAATCTTAAAGTGCTTAAGATTTCTTATTTTTGACAAAAAATTTTTTAAATATGGCCCGGATCTGTAAGCGAACAGTTTCTATTTCAGATTTTTCTTATGTTTAAAATGTTTTCTTATTGTTTATGTTGTTTTCTTATGTTTTCTGATTGAAGATATCTATAAACGATAAACATGGAAGGAAATTATTTGATTTAAGTGTACTTTTCGCTTAGAGAAAAACCGCCAAAAACTGTTGACCTAAGCCAACGTTTTTATTATTTTTTTATTATTTTATTTATTCTTAAATACTAAAAAAAAAAATAGAAAATTAAATAAAGGGAAAAAAATTAAATAAAAAATTAAATAAAAGGAAAAAATTTAAATAAAATACGAAACATTACAAGAAAATCGTTAAATTTCCTTGCACCCGGCTTACCGAAAAGTACTAATTTAAGATATCGATGAAAGTTATTCCTCAAAAAGATTATTTTATTCAAGATTTCAATAAAAAATAATCATGAAAAACATTATTTGACTCAAGATATACAGTCAAAGATTATGTTTATGACCAAAGAAATTGATTCGAAAATGTATCAAAGATTGATGCAGTTAGCAAATGAAAGGTTTAACTAGTTGAAAGCATGATTTTGGCAGCAACTGACAAGTTTAGTTTGAAAGTAAAAATCAAAGCTTTTAAATCTTTAGAAGGCAAAAAATATTATTTAACATATTTAGTAGAGAAAACAAAGATTTTGTGTTTACTTGACATTCCTAATATTCAAATAGCTTTTTTGTTTCGTTAGACCTTTCTCAATCGGTGCTAAGCACGAAAACTAGATGTGTTAACTTTGAGTTAGCTTTCAGTACTGATAATGTTTGTTTACGTTTTGACTTTAAAGTCTTTTGCTTTCAACTTTCAACTTTTATAGTTTAATTATTTCGTGATTTGAATATCGAATATTTTGCCTTTCATTTTCATGCGTTTTAAGCATGATTCTCAATAGATTGATAACCACTGAGATTTAAACTTCGTACCATGATTCTAATAGCTATTTTGGTGATGTTCCTCATGCGAAAATTATGATTTGGATTTCATTTGCGTATGCAGGCATATGAAGAAAAATAATCGCTAAGCTAAATAGGTTGTGAGGCACTGATTCGTAGTTCGAATTTTAATTTCTTTCAACGCAGCGAGCATTTCTTTCTTTCTTACTTTTTTATTTTATGTTTTTTTAAAAAAAGATTTGAATTGAAACATGTCTTGATTTTCTTGTCTAATCAAGTATCTAGCATAGCCCAGCAAATGTTCCAAATATCATAAATTTAATAATTTTGTAAAATAAAATAATATTTAAAATTGACAAACTTTGAGAAGATGATACCAAGCATTTTTCTTGAATAAACTCATAGCTATTAATGCTAATTCTGTACTTCATGAATAGTATTCAGACATTTATTTATTTACAGAAACATCTTAAAACAAGTTTAGTTGTTTACTTTTGTAGAAAAGCTGACTTATTCTACAGCAAGTTCACTTTAAGTTATTAAAGTTTGTTAATATTTTAAGATCAATGGGTAGGAAAACAGTTGAAAGAACAAGCTGCTAATTATTGCAATTTTTAGAACTTGTAATTGGATACCTGCAAATGACGGCATCGTATCTAACTCCTAAATTGTGGCATTGGTCGATTCAGAAGCCAATCAGGTTCGACACACACGCGCGACTTTGTTTACAGGTATCCAACTAAATCTCATTTAAGTCACATGGTTAGACATAATCACTTCACTTCTAGTCAAGCTGCAAGTACCCAATTAAGAAACTAATGATAGTCTCTTTCAAAAATGTCAACTTTGATAATATCATTTCATTAAGAGAAGTAATAATCATTTTACATTTTAAGGAGTTTAAAATTATTTTCCTCAAAAATTATGCAACCTAAATTAAAATTTGGATTACACTATTTACCAAAATTATTAAAAAAATAAATGAAGTTTGTTAAAATATAGTCTTATAAATGCTAAACTGAGGGGACAGAACCTTAAAAAAATAATGACGAAGTGCTTGCATATGAGATAATTATTAACTTGATTAAGTGCTTTCATAATTGGGTATAATATGAAAAAAACACAACTACTTCGATTTAGTAGGAACAACATATGACGCAATGCTAAACGAATGGAATTTAGTTGTTGTTTATTTAGTTATTGTTATTAGTAGTTGTTGTTATTTGTTTTAGTTGTTGTTGTTTATTTAGTTGTATTTAGTTTCAATAACTTTTCTTTATAATGCAATAAAATCTGGCGAGCAGCTATT